TAAGACTTTTGCTGATGCCATCATGAATGGCTTAGTCCTTCAAGTGCCACAAGATTTTTTTCTTCTGTTTGTGTTGCAATGGCTAAGCAAGCTGTTTTCTCCCTCTGGGAGGGGATATTAATCCAAGTTGCCCCACCAATTCCCAGTGCTGCGCTCAGGTGCAGCCTTGGTGGTAGGTTAAAGGGCTGGGTTCGCTTTCTGGTGGCATCTTAGGATTGCCAAAAAAGAGAGAATGCATGATTTTAAAAAGGACCGAGAAGACCTGGATTCATGTGAAGTGCTTGTACACACACGCACACACAGCTCCCTATGTGCTAGCACCGATGCGTATGTGTTGGTGCACATTTAGAAACAGCAACTACTTAAAACAAACAAAAACACAGTAGATCTCACCAGAACGGAGGAGACATTGACGGGGACCTGCGTCCTGGCTCAGGCTGCCGTCCAGGTGCTGCTACCTGTGGGTGGGATTCCAAGCTGCCCCAGCCCTGGCCAACCTGCTCTCCCTCCCTGCAGTCCTTGGCGAGCCCCTAGGCTGCCTGCTTGCCAGCTGGACATGCACAAGGTCCATGGGAGCCTGGCGCTTTGGGCAGGAGCGGGAGACGAGGGGCAGCCTTCCTCCAGAACGGAGCAGGCCAGCAGATTGTGGAGAAGGGGACTCTGCCCACCGGTCCCAGACTGGACGGAGGTTTTCCCACTTGCCTCCTGAGGCCCTTTACGAGGCACAAGCTCCCTCTCGTGCTGGCCCAGGTCAGAGGGGCCGGGCAATGAGCGGGAGTGCAGTGGCCCTGTTGGCCAACACCCCTGGTCAAGCCCAGCACGCCCTGGACAAACCTTCCCACCGAGGATGCCTTCAAAGAGAGGACCGTCTTAACAGTAAGGCACGTGCCCCTCCCGCAAGGTGCTGATCTCGCGCCCAGGCATGGGCTGCAGTAAGGAAGGGCGTGGATAGCATCACATAAGGTCCACATTCAGACGATGAAGGAACGGCCCTATTGCAATGCCCATCAGTTCCTGAGGCTATTCTTTGCAGAGCATTGTGGAAGGAGAAGGGGAGAGACTCCAGGACAATCCATAACGCACCACTACATCCCACAGAATGCCTTGTTTTCCCCCTCCAAGGCTGCTTTCCTGATCTTGGAGTGCAGGTGGTGTGTTTACCTGCTCCAAGGTCAGCACTCCAATTCCGGGCTCCAAGGCTGGATTGCAGTCCCCAACCTGGCTCTAAGCATCTGCAATAGTCTGTGTCCCCCAGATGCTGTTTGTCACTGATGTATATTTCCAGAGCAACCTTCCCCAAACTGCTCCTTTCCAGGGCTTGTGGCCTACAACTTCCATCATTCCTGACCATAAGGAGCACCCCTGAACATGCTGGCTGAAGTTGATGGGAGCTGAAGAACGGAACATCTAGAGCATGGGTCCTCAAACGATGGCCCGGGGGCCGGATCCAGCCCGCCATGCCCATTTGGACCTGCCCCGCCCATGTGTGCACCCCCGCTGCCCTCCTCACCCTGCACGCAGGGAGGCAGCGGTTTGCTCTCTCAGAGAAAACCATCTCCAAGCCAGCAAGCCACTGCCTCATGCACCCGCCTGGTGGTGCCTGCCCGCCCCCCCCCCCGGCCTCAGCGCATGCACCGCCCCCAGCCCGGCCTGTGTACACGGCCGGCTCCACCTTTCTGGCCCATGCCCAGCACCAGTAGCTTTCAACTGGCCCCCTGGTGAAAAAGTTTGAGGACCCCTCATCTAGAGGGCAGCGGACTAAAAAGGTTTATGCTACCACCTGGGAAGCAGAGATTTTCCCTTTCCATTCCCTACTCCCAAGCTGGAACCATTGGGTCTACAGGTTTTCCAGTTCTCCGGGTAAGGTCTTGCCCTGGCCCCTGGCAACCAAAACATGCTGTGAGCTTTCATCAATTTCCACCCCTTCAAAAATTTAACATTTGCAGAGTATGAAACATGCATTCTCTAACGAGAGACAAAGATGACAGAGACTGAGACAGAGAGAGTTAGTTCATGGTAGATACAGGATTCATCCTGAGAACTTCCTGATTCATAACTCAGGCTGTGAACCACTTCGGCACACTGTAATCTCACAAACAATTAGGGCTCAAATTTGCTTGCATTTTGGTTTCCTTCACATATATTGTTTTGTTGTGTATCTGTTAGACTGTAAACCCGTGGAAAGAGGGACTGGGCTTTTTTAAAATCATGATCTGCAACATTTTGATCAATTATGTCTCTCTCTCTACACATACACAAGCAAACAAAATTAGGAACTCCAGTAAAAGCAGAGAATTTAAAGTACTTACAGCACCTATACATTGTTCAAAACTGCTAAATATGGGATCTTTGCCCTGCTTGCATTCCTAAAAAAGACTGAATTATTGGTTATGGTTAGGTATGAAACAATATGAGAGCTCATCAAATTTTAACACAAAAACATGATAATTCCTAAATATGAGTCAAAGCTTTTGATTGTCTGCATTACTTAAAGCTATCTTATCACACTCAGAGGGCATCTACAGTTTTTAATAGCTGGCTTTGAAGTTTTATTCATAGCATGGCTTCGACATTTTATTTCTCCCAGAACAAAAGTAAACGTTCTTTTGCTTTCATAGGTATATACTGACCTGACTAAAGTTTTGGTTTTGGTTAGAGGGAAGTACAGTGTGAAAGCACTGCATTTGTTCAAATAATATGCAGAGCAAGTTTGGAAGAAAAACACAGCACTTCAAGCCAACATGATGCCCACATCCTTTTCCAATAAAGAACAGCTATAACAGGGGGGAAGTCAAATTAGCCCCCAAGTCAAATTATTTGTCACAGTCCTTAGGGCGCCGCTGGCACAAGTCTCTTCCTCTCCCACCAGGCCATTCTTCCTTTTCACAGTAACTCTGGTTGGGTGAGGAAGTTTAGGCTGAGAGAGGAGCTGATTTCACTCCTCCATGCTAATCTGACATGGGTGCCTTCCAGGTGTTTTGGAATACAACTCTCGGGGTTCTGACTGAGCCACTGGCCATGTTAGCCAGGGCTGATGGGATTTGGAGCCCAAAAACATCTGGAGAGCCACGGGTGGCATCCTCTCTCTGGAGTGGGCAAGCTGTTATTCCCGAGGTACTTTGGACTGCAATTCCCTCCAGCCCTTAACATGTTGGCCAGAGAAATGGGAGCTGTGGTCCCAAACACCTGGACGGGGGAAGGCTAAGTTGGAGTGCCAAAAAAGAAGCGTTTCTTGTGACACATGATGTAGCCAAGTTGGAATCGGTGCAGCGAAGGGCCACTGGGATGGTGGCTGGTTTGCAGGGGAAGCCGTATAAGGAGAGACTGAGGGAGCTGGGTCTCTTCAGCCCGGAGAGGAGGAGACTCGGATGGGACCTGTTAGTGATATACAGGTGCATGAGGGGGTGCCATGCAGAGGTGGGTCATGACCTTGTTTCCCCTGCAGTGGAGGGCAGGACACGTTCCAATGGGGCACAGCTTAGGGAACCCAGATTCAGGGTGGATGCCAGGAGGTACTTCCTGACGGTTAGGACCCCCAGGGCATGGAATGGGCTTCCACGGGTGGTGGTTGAAGCCCCAACGGTGAGGGTGTTCAAGGATAGGCTGGACATGCACATGGTGGGCATGTCGTGAGTGGAGCTGGCTGGAGCTGGGGGTCAGTCAGACTAGATGGCCCAGGAAACCCCTTCTGACTCACTCTGTTCCTGCATTTCTACATCATACCATGGTTTCCCAAATGAACGCACATAAAATGTGCCCGACTAAATTAGGCATTTTTACCATCTGTTCCTTGGAAACACACAGCAAAAGCCCACACTCACCGCCACACCATGAAACGGAGCAGGCCGGCCCAGCTTCCAATTCAGAATTTGCGGTCCTTACAGCTGAAATCCTACTATGCCACGGTGGCGTGGGGCTGATACTTTCTGGATGGGAACTCGGGAGGTCAGAGTTCTGATCTCCACTCAGCAATGACGTTCACCGAGTGACTTTGGGCCGGTCACTCACTCTCAGCCTCACCCACTTCACAGGAAATGGAAAAGACTATGCAAGCTTCTTTGGGTTCCTTGTAGGAAAGAAAGGCAGGATAGGAATATAATGGATACCGAAAATAAACATTCGTAAATCTAGATGCATGTGTTTACGGATTTTTCTAAACCAGTGGTGGAACATCTGGGGCTACGCCAATTGCTGCTGGAGTCTGGCCTCTTTCAGCCACAGGCAACATGGCCAGAGCTGATGGAGGTTGAAATCAAAGGAAAGGAAAGCCGCAGATTTCCCAACCTATTCAAAACTGTATAACGTGGATGGATAGTCAGGCACAGTTGTGTACACTTGGAGAATAAACGCCTGGATCAAAATCACCGTTTGAGTGGTGAAGGAGGCAGTTCCTGGAGAGTAGCGGATCTGGTACCAGCTTCTACTTGCTATCATGAGGACATAAGCTGGTAGCCAGTGTGTTTGAAAAGCTCTGTGCTGGCAATGGAGTTTGGTGGGATGAAAGCAGAGGGGGAATTCTCCAAAAGCCCGATAGGTTGACACACATCAGCTCTCCGGTGGTGCTGGACAAAAGCACACCAAACACCAACCTGGTGTGAAATGAGAGCTGACCTTCCCCCAGCAGCTGTTTGGGAACCCCTCTGTGCTTCGACATTCAGACTGCCTCTTTGTTTTGACAGAGCAAGCATTGTGATCAGCGGGGCCTATGTTTGATCCCGGCCTTTCACAAAAGAGGCGACCAAGCTGAGCACGTCCTCTCCCCCGTACAGCATCAACTGGATGAGGAGCATTTGTCTGGCCGCTGCTTTAGAAACGCCGTGCGCCTCCTTGGTTTCAATGCACCCCATGCGACCTTTTCCTTCCACACCAAGGAAGCCCCCCAACCATGACCTTTTCAACTCCAACGCCGCCACAAGCCCCCGTCCCCTCCTTCCTGACTGCTGAGCTGTTCGAAGCTTTCAGATTTGCCACACACACAAAAACCACGCCAGGTGGCCACCTCCTTTCAATATGCCATTTATTCATCTCCGCAGCTGCGCAAAACGGAACACTTTCTGTACAGGGTGGCAGCCCAGAACAGAGCCAGCCTTTGTGAGCTCTGGGTCTTCTAGGATTGTGGGGATGTATCGACAACGGATTTACAGGTCCAATGCAGTCTCTGCCCCTCCTCCCATTGTGTCAAGGGTGTGTGTCGGACACCTCAAATTAAGGCAAGCCAAGTTGCTTTTTTAAAAAAACAGAAATGAAATAAAGACAACCTTTCCTGCATGGAAAATGACCAGGAGGAAAAAAAGAGAAAGATTGCAAGCTAATTATTTTGCGGAGAGTGCTCATACATAGCTAGGATTCCTCTAATCCTTTGAAGAGTGTCCAGCCCAAGACCTTTGTGTCGTCCTTTCTCAAGGATGGCTTTGGCCATCTGATCTTGCCACGATGGAAGTGTGCCTGTGGAAGGATCGAGTGAGCCCAGGAATCCCCAGGAAATCCACTGCTTCCTCCACCTCATCGTTCTTCATCTGATCCCATCCGTCAGACCATTCAGTCCGGCTCCCTTCCTCGCCTCAGTAGTATGCATCTTCATATGCATCTGTGCGCAGGCAGGAAAGGATGGCTGCCCCCAGCATGAAGATGGCAGAGCCCCAGCCCAAGCCGTAGCCCCAGTTGAACTCGTGGTAGCTCTTCAGCATGCTGCTGTCGATGAATTTGATCGGGTAGAGGATTAAGGCGCAGACTTGCAGAACCACTAGGTCGATGAAACAAGTGAAAAGGCTGGTTAAAGAGAATCAGTGGCTGGGTTTGGACAACACAGTGATCCGAACTTGACTACGGGTTGAGTGTGAGTTATTGCTGAACCATGGGCTGCCGCTGAAATGTGGTGTCGAAACGTGTTGTCTGAACCCAGCCAAGATACCAGACCATGGTGAACAACCCATAGTTCACAACTCAGTGATGAACTGTGGGTTCTTTTGTGGGTTGTTTCTGATTAAGAAGTCATGGCTCATTAGCACAGCTTGGTTCAAACACAATAACCCACTTTCAGCAACAACCCACACTGAAGAAAACCAACAATAGAAACAGATTTGGGTATTTCTAGTATTAAGTCATATGATTGTACAACATGCTTTTGCTTTCCTCCCTTGCTTAATTACTGTATGTTTGACACACATATGGATAAAGTTGTGTTATCTAACGTTTGGGATGTTACTCATCTTTGCCAGTTTACTTTCCCAATTGTTGTGGGCTGGGATACACTTCTTTTTTGATCTAGATATCAAAGTTACTTAAGAAGAAAGTTAATTGGCTTGCTTCTGTGAAATGTAAATTTAGAAATTGTTGGAATCGGTATATATGCACAGACATTTGAACTTGCAACATTTTATACAACTGTATGTTTCGGGGGCCAGGGCACCCCTTCTTTATTCACACAGAAAAGGAGTGAGGAAAAGAAATCCCGTACCTGCTGTAAAAAGGAAGACAGCGACAACTCGGTAATAGCGTTTGTAGGTGCCCCGGCAGAAAGAAATCAGCGACATAAGGAATGACAACAGAGCGATGGTAGCTGCAGTCAGGATTAAGATGAGAGTAGCCACTTGCCAGTCTGGGAAAAAAAGTAATAAGGAACTTCAATAAACCATCAGCAGAGAAGAGGCTTTCTTCCTGCTCCTAAGAAAGCTGGAGAAATGCACTAGGGCCAAAGTGAGCCAAGATTCTGGTAATCATGGCTCACTGTAAATAAACTCATGCTAGTAATGCGTTCATGTTCCTTCTTGCTTGGCTCTTCCTGCCACAGTGAGCTGCAGCACTAGCCAGAAAATAAAAGTTCACCATGTCATCTGAAACTGGAATCCTGGAGCCAGGCTATGTAAGCTAAGGACAAATCCTGATTTAATTATCCTTGCAAAAGGAGGAACAAGCCAGGATCCTTTTGGACATCATGGTGCTCTTACTTTCTAGTTGGTTTATAGTAGAGGGATGAGTCAAAGAGCAGCAAGTATGGCCGGCAAGGAATTTGCTATCGTGCTCTCTGAACATAGCCAGGCTTACATTATTTCAGTGCAGGAAGCTTAAAGGTGCAGCTCCAGGAATGTTCCCCATCTGGCAGTAATGCAGTTCACTGTGAGAGAACCTGGTGATCTGGGTTTTAGAGTGGGGTAGCCCTGTTCTAACTTTTTGCTTTTTGTCAGTTCTAACTTTTTGTCAGTTTTGACTTTTTGTCAGTTCTAACTTTTTGCTGTGAGGTGAAGGCTAAGATGGTACCACTCCCATTCCATGGACAAAAGCTGACTCAAGTGGCAGCTGAATTTCTCTGCAATGCTCGCAGTGGGACAGCACCCTCCACCACATCTGAATGCAACGGACTGACTTGGGGGGTGCAAGGAAAGGCACATGACTCAGTCTCTCTTTCAGCACCCTGCTGCCGCCCCAGAGAACCACTTCACCCTTCCAAATGGTAGGGCCGGCCTCTCCACATGATCCCCTGGGATGAACGCGGCTGAGAATGCTGATTTGGAATGCCAAGGATTCCCAGCTTCGAATAGCTCACTTCATTCATCCCCTGAGCGTGAGAATAAATCAAAGGCTGGGAATAAATCAAAGGCTGAAATTCAACCTTTGTTGTTCAAGAAAAAAGCAAGTGCGAGCTGCAAGGAAACATCGGAGGGTGGACCGCTCCCATTACAGCCGGTCACCTGAATCCTGATGGGCCGTTTCTGGGGGGCTCCCTCCCTCATTTTCTGAAAGTTGTTGTACTTCCACAAACCTTGAGTTCCACCCAAACGATCAATTCCTCCTGCTTGAGTGAGTTGCGCTGTTCAGGCTACCTAAGCAACCTCATTCATAGACTGAATAGAGGGAACGAGTGCTATTCTAGCAGACACAGGAGTCGAATTTTCCAGCTAGGCTGTCCACCCCGTGCATAGAAAGTGCAAGCAAAATCAGCATTGAAGTATCCTGGACACAATGCTATGAGAGGAGCAGCACAAATGACTTGTCAAAGGCCTGTGAACTTCACGCAGATGCCAAGCTGATTCTCCTGTCCCAAGTCCAGATTAAATACTGTATCCCACTGATCTCCATTATTTCGCACAACTTAAGAGCAAGCACTGATTATTCGGATTCCAAACCATCTGGGGTATTCTATTGCATAGGCGGGCAGAAAGCTGAACTCCCAGTGTTTTAGACTTCCATTCCCACCGTTCTTCAGCATCAGCCATGCTGGCGGGGGCCCACAGTTGCTGAAGCTGAACCTTTACTTTATTTTAAAGATGCATAGACAGCTTCCTATTCTGCAGTGGAGATTTCAGAGTGGTGAACAATAACAGACAAAATAAGTGGAAGACTGAAAAAAAGTGCATTAGAAACAGAATCAATACAACCGTGGCTGCTTAGTTCAGAAATGCTTCCTGGAATCAACATGTTTTCAGTGAATGCTGAAAGCGATGCAAAGTGGGCGGCTGGGTGATCTCAGAGGCAGGGAGTTCCAAAGAAATGAAACCGCTATGCTGAAGCTCTAAGCAACTGGGCAGGTTTATATGCTAGTACCTAAACCTTAAACCTGGCCCAGTAGTGAATGGGCAGCCAAGGAAGTTCCCTCGACAAGGAGATGCATGCTGGAAAGGGGCAGCTCCTCACAACAGCCAAGCTGCAGCAGTCCACACTAGCTCCATGTTCCAGTGCAGACTTCCAGGGCCTCCACTTCCCAGTCTTGAGGTTACTAGTCCCTCTACCAGTGGGGCCAAGCTGGCCTTGTTCAAGAGAGGCTGCAAGCTGGTGGATCAGGCAAGGACATGCCAAGCTGCTGCAGTGGATCTAGGAATAGCCCCGACTGCAAGCCCAGTCTTTCAGGGAGAGTGCAACCCCATCCAGAACAGGGAGTGTGTGTATCCCTAGGACTTGGGAACTATCACCCAGAGACCTTCCGTCGTGCCAGGATTCCGCTTCAGTTTATTGGCCTTCATCCAGCCCATTACCAGACTAGGCCCTGATCCAGGACTTGTATAGCCTCACCTGATTCAGATGTCACAGGGAGACAGAACTGTGTGTTATTGACACACTGATGGCACTTAGTTCCAAATCCCCTAATAAATAAAACCTCTAATGGCTGAAGGCAGAGATAACCTAAAGAGGCAGTCATCACCTTCCCTGATTCATAGTCTGCTGTTTTGTGCAAGTGTGGAATAAGCACAACATCAAAAACATAGAAATGGTACAGACTTTATCTCCTGGAGAATCCCAGTTTCATTTTTAAAAAAGAGAGACATCTTAAAAAAAAAAAAAAAAGCAATATCTAAGCTTCTAGTCCTTATGGCAATGAAAATGGCCTTGACAGCATGTGGACAATGCTTGACAAATTTCAGAACCTAAGGGGCAGTGTTTCAGTGCCCTGTGTAGCTGTTTGCCCCTCCCCATGTTAACAAAATACAAAGTTAATATATTTGCATGTTTATTATTTTTTGTTTGGAGCATTTCTATCCCATCCTATACAAAAGTTCCAAATATGCAAACATTTGGGGGCATGACGTATATAGATCCCAGAATATGACCTGATGGTGCAAAAGAGAACACACACAAGCATCAGCGTAGAACAGCTGGACCAGTGGGGACATTTTGACTTGGCTCAAAGCAATTTCTCTCCCACGTTTTACTGGTGCGTTCCTGGAGAGCGAGTCAAGCCATGGCAGAGGCAGGACCGAGGGGGGGGGGGGTTTCATGGAACAGCTTTCCAAAGGGACTCGCAGAGAACGGGCATTCCGATGCTGGGAATTATTCTAGGCCTGTGTCAGCTGGAGCAAGCCAACATAGAGAAGCATCTGAAACACCAGCCCCTTTTCTCTGTCCAGCTGTTCTGCGACCACAAAGGACCTGTTCACAGCCCCTATCCATCAGCAGTTTATTGTGACCAAGTCAGACGGGGCACCAAGCAGAGGGTTTAAGGATACCTATGAAACCGGGAACAAAAGGGGCAGCTCGCTTTTGGGGAGGAACCAGTCCATTTGTGCAAGTTCCCGTTCAGTACATCCCCACAGCTTTTAAAATACATGCTAGCTGTTGACTTAGCCTGGTGCTGACTGTCAGAGTCTAGTGTCTGACTTCACTCCTCTCTCACACTGGCAGGCAGCTTTCTGCTGCTTCACAGTTACATGACAACCCTCACTTTGCACCCCCATCCCAGCTTTGCCAGATTGCCTCTTGGCCGAATCAGGCATACAGAACATGCTCCCATCTGCGTTTTGAGTCAGAGGTTTGCAGGAAACTGTTAGCAGCGGACTTTATGAAAAGCAACGACGCAGGGAGAACCTGAGTCGTCGGAGCTGGTCCTCGTGTGGCTGGCATGGCTCGGAGGACTCCATAGGCTGGCCTAACAGTAGCGAGCTAGCTGGACAGCTCATGGAATAAAAGAAGAGTAGAGCTGGAGTGTGCCCATGAGGCCAACCTCCTGCTCAGTACAAGACTCCAGGTTAAGGACCCCTGATAGCTGGCTGTTCAACTGCCTCCAATGCAGGAGGCCCCATTACCCCCCAGGCAATGGTTTCCATTGCCGCACTGCTCTAACCCTCTCCAGCCAGAATTTGGCTATTTATTCCCATGTGCCACACTCAGGTGTGGTTGAGAAGAGACCCTGGCCTCCTCTATGGAACAGCCTTTCCTGGGCCACACACGTCTCTTCTCCAAGTTAAGGGCTTCCAGACCCATGATGATTCTGGACACTCTCCTCTGAAACCCCTCCAGTTTGTAGACACCCCACTTGAAGTATGGTGCCCAGAACTGGAGCTAGTACGCAAGATAGGGACTAGTTAGTGCCAAACGGAGGGGAAACAATCTCTCTCATGATTTGGAAGCTATATTTCTATGAATGCTACCCAAAATGAGGTTTCCTATCTAAATAAAGTTGCATTCTGGAAAAGAGGGAGAGGGGTGTGTGAGTGGTGGATGGTGGAGAGGGTCTTTCATGCCTCAATCTGTGCATGTTACCAGCACCCAGCAGAAGACTCTGGGAGTGAGCAGGTGGCCAGCCGCCGAGCTGAACATAAATCACAGGTTTGCCGTAGAAAATTGCCCACATCTGTTGCTCCTCGTGCTAAGACTAAACAGCCCTGCACAGATGAGACAAATGGACACACTTATCCCCTCTCCCCGCTTTTAAAACATCCCACGCTTCAACTGCTGCGAACAAGAAACAGACGAGATCGATGTCTTTGCAGCAAGTTGCTCGGCTGCCTTCCCTGGGGTTGGTAACCCTGACCTGAATGCGCCGCCTGTCCTGCCTTCCCTCCCAGAAAGCAGAGCCTGATGCAGAGGAAGCACGTTACTGACCCTTGCTCTCTTGCTGGAGGTGCCCGAGTTTTTTGCTCAGGAGAAGCTCCTGGATCCTTATTTGCAACTGAGAAAGACAAACATTTCCCTGAGCTTGCAGTGCAGAATCTCTTTGCCACGGAAAGGGACCTTTTGTGCCGCTGGGCTCCCTGCAGTCCTCCACAGCACAGGGCCTGGCCTCAAAGCCTTGGGAAAATCTGTTATCTCAGACCGGAGAGAGAGCTGCAGGGATATGCATGGCAAGAGGCTCATGTTGAGCAGAGTGACTCCCCAAGGCCCAGCCACGGCGCACGCCACCCCCCACCCCAGCCTGTCCTAAGTCAGAGGGTTCGGATCAGGATGCAGGCGGTTTCTGCCTGCCTCAGTGTGATCCGAAAATGCAGCAGAGGGCAGTGGCACAGCTCCACGTGCAGCCCTGCAGGACTCCTAGTCCTCATTGCAGCTTGAGACGAACCCTGGGGTGGCCTGGTTCTCAAGGAAAGGGCAACAACCTTTCCAAGGAAATCCTTAACTAGCAAGACTCAAGTCCTGCTAACAATGAGGAGGAAAGGGAAAATGTGCTCTGAATCCAAGTCAGATCAGGCAGGTCATGCACAATGCCCTCTATCACCTTCAGTCTCAGACCAGAGAAGGCAGCAGAGGTTTCTCTGCAGAGATTCCTCCAGCCGAGCATGGAGGTTTCACTGGTTGGATGCAGAAGCTCGGTGAGTCAAATTCTGTTCCCTGCTTTAGAAAGAGGGTGGGATAAAATACAATAGATCCGTCTCAGATCTGTTTTCCTTACTCTCTTCAGTTTGTAGAAATGGGTTTTTATTGCATAAACAAATGCCATTTACAACATAAGAAGAGGCTGTACTTTGAGTTCCCAGAACAGCATCCAAAAATGCAAAAAAACTGCAAGTGAACATAATCCCTGGAAATTGCTGCAAAAGAGATTTGTTTACTATCTTTGCAAAGCAGATTAGCTCCCTTTCCTGCCAGAGTACAACTTTTTTTTAACTCAAGCACTTCTGCAAAGGCAACCAACGTTATCAGACCTACATTCTGATGCCTACAGATTAATTTGAAGGTTGGGGGAACCCCTGACCTATATATTAGTCTGAGAATGTTTGAAGGAGCGAGCTTTGTGAGCATAAGCAGAACTATGTGCCATAAAGTCATCCCCGACTTCTGGCGACCCTATAAATGAAAGCCCTCCAAATGTACTATCCATGATAGCCTTGCTGAGCTGTTCTAAATGCAGGGCTGTATATGCAGAGTAGCGTACCAAATATATTCAGCACTACCAAATATGCCCATCACAGCCAACCTCCTAAACACCTTGGCTTAGCCCTCCAAACCATGTACAGCTCAAGCCGCAGCTCTAAAAAATAATGCAAGGGAGCAAAGGCAAATGATATATTAGACTGTATTAATCCAAGTGTCGCTTCCAAATCATGCAATGTACTGGTTTCTCTCTATTTGGCACTAGTTAGTACTGTGCTGTGCCCAGTCCTGGGCTCCACAGTTTAAGAAAGATGAAGACAAACTAGAAAAGGTTCAGAGAAGGGTAACAAATATGATCAGGGGACTGGAAACAAGGCTCCAGAAGGAGAGACCAGAGGAACTGGGCTTGTTTAGTTTCAAGAGAAGACTGAGGGGAGCTACGATATCACTTTACAAGGCTGTCACACAAAGGAAGGGCAGGATCTCTTCTCAGTCACACCAGAGTGCAGAACATGGGATGATGGCTTAAGTTACAGGAAGCCAGATTCCGGATGCACCTCAGGAAAAACTTCCTGCTAGAACAGTCTTGCAATGGAAGCCATTCCCTCGGAGGTTGTTGGCTCTCTCACACTGGAGGCATTCCAGAGCCAGCGGGCGGCCATCTGTCAGGGATGCCTGAACTTGGGGTCCTGCACTGAGCAGGGACTTGGACTCAGTGGTCTTACGGGCCCCTTCCAACTCTGCTGTTCCACGATTCTATGGTAAGAGAGTCTATGGACTCTATGGACTGGGCACTCCTCTTTCCAGTGAGCAAAGGCATTTCTGGATTGCCCCAGCTTTTTGCTTTTTAAAAAGCAAACAGCAGCCACTCCCCTTATAGCAAGACTCCTAGCAGCTGTGGCCCTGGGCATCAGACACAGGCAACCTGGCATCCTCCAAATCCTTCGGGGCACAGTTTCTTTCAGCCCCAGCCAGCATGGCAAATGGCAAGGAATTGCGGCAGCTGTACTGCAGAACATCCAACAAACATCCAATGTTGGGAGTGGATACATGCGGAAATGCAAAACAATCTTTAAAACTAAGTGCCCTATGAGTCCTAAGAATATGCTTTCGAATCTAATGTCAGAGGCTCTTTCAAAGAATATGCCAGAGTTATTTAAATATATGACAACTGCAGCAAGAATTACAATTGCTTCTAAATGGAAATCATCAGAATCCCCAACAATTGAAGAACGGAAAAATAAGCTGGCAGAATACGCAGTGATGGCGAAATTAACTAAAAATGTAAATAGAATGCCAGTTGAAGAATTTAATGATAAATGGAAATTCTACTATATCCGGCATGATTAATGGGATGTAAAAGGGAGTTCTTTAAAAAGTAGTTGAGAGTTTAAAGCCATTGGAAAATTTGTTGGCGTCCAGAATAACAACTTGTTCTTTTCTGAACTCCCATAGATTGCTGAATGACAGAAAGATAGATAAATTTGAGGGTCTGAATGTATCAGTTTCATGTTTAAAATCCCTTGGCAACTTTATTCTATTTTACTTTATATATACACACACGTAGTAATCCTTTTTGTACTTTATGTTAAGAAAATATAATTTAAAAAAAAGATCCAAAGAGCACCACGTGACTATAGATGATGTAGAGCTTTGCCTTGGCATTCTATCCAGCCCTGCCAATGATCAGGGATGATGGGAACGGTAGTCTAACAACACCAGGTTCCCTGCACATATCTCAATATCATGAAAACTCTGCTGCATCCGACCTTCGAACAAGAAGGTGATCTAGGGTGCCTGCCCAGAAGTCTCCTGGAAGTTCATGAGAAGGGCACTGGGAATGGGCCCGTCACCTGCCAGTTACCCCTAGCTCAGGGCAGGCAGAGGCTGTCCCCTCCAGCAAAGAGGGACCAGTAAGCCAAGCCGGCGTCTCGGTTTCTACAGCAGTCCCGGGAAGCAGCAAAAAGCAAGGTACCAAGGAAACAGGATGTTTTTGCACCCCAGAAACCAATAAGTGGTTGCGTACTGATGAAGTGGATGCAGGTGGTGACAGACCACACCATAAGAAAAGGCACGGCCTCTCCAGCCCAGGTGCTGCAGGTGCTGGGCATGGCACGCACCCATCAGGGCTCGCCAAATGAGGGAGCTGCTGCCAAGCCACACCTAGAATAGGTGTGAGCAGCTTGCCGGGTTCCCAGGCATGTCGGCGGTCAGCATGAGGGTGGGCAGCACATGGCCCTCCAGAGACTTCCAACTACAACTCCTAGCATCTCTCACCATTGGCTAGATTGGCCAGGAATGATGGAAGTTGTTGGCCAAAGAGCCTCACCATCTCAGGTTGTCCCCTGGGTCTAGAGGACACTGGATACTGGGAAAAGCGGACAATGGCTTTGGGGATGCCACAGGACTCTCTTGTGTTGACCCCTGTATTCATATCTACCAATCGAAACCTCTAGGGACCAGTTGAGTTCCACAGGCTGCAGTTTCCACATCTCTGCTTTAGGAGAAAGCACAAGAATAAAAACGCAGTTCACCATCTCCGTCTGCCTTTTCCGTTTCCAAGAAAGGGTTTGCATGCCAAAGCAAGCACCATTCCCGACAGAAGGAGAGGGTTCCAGACCGGCATCCAAAGAGGCAAAAGCTTTCCCCAATCCCGCACACACACCCCCTTACCAGTGTGGAGGGTAGAGAAGCACTTCCAGACGTCCGGAGCTTGCCTGCAAGCCTCCCAGAGGGAGAGCGAGTAGCGTTCCGACGTGACCCAGGCGGGGCTGAGCAGGGCCGCCACGTCCAGGACGAGCGCGATGAAGGCGCACAGCAGCGCGATCAGCTTGAAGGGGCGAAAGAGCAAGCCCTCCTCCTCCGCGGCCGACATCCTCACGACCCGCTCCCGCTCCCCTTGCACGGAGCCGCGCTCGCTGGCGGACAGAGCCGACCCGGGGCAGGAGGAAGAAGCTGTCGGGGGCGCGCCCGCTCGCTCGCGAGCAAGGAACCCGCGCCGGGCAAGATCGGCTGGCACCAGGGCTTGGCGCGGCGGCGGCGGCGCGTCCCGGCCGGAGTTTGCACGGCGGCGGCAATAGCAGGCGCAGCCGCTTACGCACGTGTCCCTCCCGGGCCCAAAGACCGCCCCCGGCTCTGCCCTGGAGAGCGGCCGCCGGATCCTAGAGGCGGCCGGGCTAGGGAGGTGGCCGGAGGGGCCGCTCGGCTTGCCCGTGCACGCACGCTTCCTCGCTCTGGGCGCGACAGCTGCGATCCAAAGGGCAGTTGGAGAAGGGCAGCAACCGACGGGACGAGCAACTTTCGAGATGCAATGCGTGACTTTGGCACATTTCAACACCTCCAGGCGCAATCGTGCTCTCCAAATGCAGTTCTGGGTATGTTTCCCTAGGATTGCCCCGTTCAGTTCATGGGGCCTTCCTGCCACACAAGCACCTATGGACCTGGACTGCTCATAAAGTCACGCAGAATCAGAGGGAAGAGGGATCTGTTACCAGCAGTGCCTGGACAGATGCCTGGAGGGAAAGCCACAAGCAGGCCCTGTGCACAACAGCTTGTGCTCCCCAGCCGCTGAGTTCAGGCAGCACAGCAAAGGCTGGGTGTGGGGTGCCATGGAACCATGGGTTATTACTCAAGTGGGACGTGTTTATTGAATTTATATCCCACCATTTTCTGTAAAAGAACTCAAAATGCCCTGCATCGTTCTTGCTGCTCTCCATCTTATCTCCACAACAACAGCCCTGTGAGATAGGTTGGGCTGCGAGTCTGTGACTGGCCCAAGGTTGCCCAGCTGGCTCTGTGACCCAGGTTGGCTGAGTCCCAATCCCGTGCTCTTAACTGCTACACCACACCGGCTCTCATGTTCAGACTCACATTATCTGAATCCAGTTGTGTTAAGCCGCCATGACTTGTTATGCTTGGTTGTTGGATTGCAAACTGTGTGTGGCTCACCATGGTTTGTTATCTCAGCTGGGTTCAGGCAACACATGAACACACATTTCAGCAACAGCCCACCCTGAACCCATACTCAGCCCTCGAGTTTGGGTTGTGTTGTCTGAACCCAGGCACTGGCATACAAAGACCACCTCTGCCTGGTACTGCAGGCCGTCTCTGGCCCTCATCAACAGAAGTCATGGACAGCCTTATCCTCCACCTGCAAGGGTCATGCAGAACAGCCCCAGTTCGGCCATCCTTCGCATGCTGAGCGCTTCAGTGGCGGCAGCACCATCACCACTAGGACCACAATCTAAAATGGTCCTATGGACCTACCTAAAGTTAGTAAGAAGGGAAAAGCTGCATAATTGGAAATGCTCTCTTCCAGTGCTTTCAGACCTAACTAGATCATTAGATCAGCCTTCCCCAGCCTGGCTCCCTTGGGGTGTTTTGGATGTCAGCAACTATCAGCCCCAGCCAGCATTCCAATGGTCAGGAATGCTGAGTGTTACAAGTCATTTTTCTCACTAAGCATGCAGAAAATTGTGCCTTTAATATACCCTCCTTTTTTACAGGTGGAGGAGGAGTTTTTTAACAGCCACATTCTCACACTGTGGGTCCAATTCTTTCCCTGAACTTTGGTTCACCAGACATGTTCTGAAATGGCAGTAGGAGCCCAGCTTTGCCCTGTGTTCTGGGCTGGAGAATAGCGCTCCCCCCTCCCCACCTCTCTCGGCTTCCCCACCAGCTTATAAATAGCCAGGTCAGCTGCCAGGGAGCCACGAGCTCAGCAAACTGGCTGTAACATTACCCAGGAAGGCAGAGGAGAGGAATGCATTGCAAGTTCCCTGCTGGCTCTGTGCCAGTTTATGCCAACCGCGTGCATGGGAAACAAATTCTTCTTACAGCTCATCCAGCAGTATGACCTGCTAGAATGGCACAAGGCAGCAAGATCATGGTGTAGACCAGTCCTCCCCAATCTGGAACTCCCACAGATGTGCTTGACTACAACTCCTATCATCTTAGGGGTTCTTTCTAAGGGAGTCGGACAGCAGGAGTTGTGGTCTGGCATGTCACAGAGTGGAATCCAGGTTGGGGAAGGCTGATGCGAACCGTACCTTTTCTCAGCATAGCTAGAAATTTCACCATCACATCGGCTGGGGCAGAACCTCACTCCCTTTGCTCCCACCAATCATCAGCTGGTTTCCTGACTTTTCTGCCGTTTCCCCCTCCATTCAAAAAGACTCAACAGAGGCCTCTCCAGCAGCATAATTATCGGCATAAAAGCTTGAAGCGAAAACAGGCTGGCATTTTTTGGCTCGTCCACATTTGCCTTTAGTCCCATCCACCACTGAAATGCCCTGAGAACATCTCTGAAACAGAGTCCATCCCTGGGACTGAGGGGTTCAGCACCTCTAGCAAACATACACAAACAGGGAACATTGTCTCCAGAGCACCGCTGTTGCTCTGCATTGTCTGCTAGACCTGGAGTTTTGCCCCTCAAGCAGCCGCTTTTCAGAGGGGGGGGGCTGTGGAGCCCTCAGGTGAGTCTGTGTCCCTGCCTGTCCAGACTCTTCCCTTTCCCTGAACCTGAAGCACCCCTTTTACTTCCCTCCCAGACTATTCCCATGCCAACTGCAATGGGAGGGAGAAGAGGGGTTTGGAGTGCTTTCTAGGAATCCAAAGAAATCCATAATCCCTTAGATGCTGCAGAAGGGCTACAGGATTGCCCCAAAATCAGCCCAAGAAGGGGAAAGCCTTCAAGTATTTACCACACACTAAATGTTGGTTCTGGGGAAAGAGGGATGGAAAACTGGGGAAGGGGGATGGCGTGAATTCCTAAACAAGAGCAGTCCCTGCTGCAGCGTGTTATTGGATTCCTTTACACAAAGCACAACTGTTATTAGATGCAAAACTGCTTGAATGGCTTTTGTGCCTTTTATCTTGCACGTATGGACACCACTCTGGGATGCCTTATGGATGAAAAGCAGTTAAGTTCATACATTTTTACAACAGGTAAATAAGCATGCTTTGCTTTTGCCTTTACAAGAAGAAAATGTGTAGCCCTTCAAGCTGCAGTTTTGTTTTGTTTTTTTAAGTCTGTGGCCAGGGAATAGCTTGGTGAAATGTTAAGAAAGCAAAAGGGATGAACCGGAAGGATGTCCAGTGTTCAGGAAGTGGAGCTTGTCAGAGCTAATGGCTAAAGCACTCAATGGAAAAAGCAAATGGAGTTTTCGCACATTTTCATAGTTCTTTCTGAGAATAGTAGCAATAGAATAAATGATACAAGGTAAGCAAACAAATGCTGCTTGTTTTCTCAGCCTGTGCTTCCATGCGAAAGTTGGGAAAAATACAGAACTTGCATCTTTTCACAGAATACATTTAAAAGTATCAGAAGATAAAGAAAAGGTTGTTGATGTTAATTGAATAACAACTTATTATATAATAATATAATTTAAAAAGTAAGAAGGGAGAAATGTTGACCTGATTATTAAGCAAAAAATATGATTGTTTATTCAGGAATTGGTTTACATTTAGCCCACCCTTTTTAAGCTGCATTTGATGGTTTATTTATTTTGGTAAAGTGATACTAATTATGCATTGTCCCCCCTAGTAACTCAGGGCAGATATTATTCTTTGCAAATACCTGCAAAACTGAAACGTTCACAGTGCAATCCTGCACATTTTTTCTGAGAAAAGCTGCTGGGTTCAGTAGGGTTTGCGGCCAGGTGCGTGGGATTGCACTCTCGCTAAGCAGGGCATACTGAAAGACGCTTTGGCATGCCGTTATCTTTGCCTGCCTAACACTAGAGCAAAAGTGATCAGCCCATCCATTAAGTATCCCATACATTTTAAAAATGAGGTATCAGGTTAAAATGTCTCCAAGCAAAAAGCAAATCTCATTTTTTCCTTTTCGTGGGGGAGTGGGGTATGTGTGCTCCTGTCTGTACAGGCTTGGACTGACTTCTCTTCTTACAGTGGCATGTGTCAGAAGTATGCCAGGATCTACATTTTATGCATATATCTGACAGTATAATTGCACAGATCGATTTGGGAGTGGCACAGAGCAAGGGATGGATTAGCCCAAGGTCGTCAGGGGTGGGATTCCAGTTGCAGCCATCTTTTTCAAACGCATTCGCGCCAGGATCTGCTTTCCAGTGGAAAGAATGTATCTTCTGGGCCTCCAAGCATCACATTACCCTAATAACAGGGGAGCAGATGGCCATCCCACAGTCTCGGCACCTGGGCTGGGAAACAGGCAATTAGCTTTTTCCCACCACAGGTCAGTCTACATCCTTCAACTCTGTAGCAAAGCCTACGACTAAAGGCACCACTTAACCTCCTTGGGCTGATGGACATTTGGCATTTTGATTGGTGTCATGGGCACTCCCACAGAATGGTTGCCACAGGGGCACCTTGCCCATTCATTAAAATCTACCCCGAGTACAAAACACTCATTTCCCAGAAGGCAGATTGGTGAGGTTAACGGAAAAGTAACTTGCCCAAGCACTAGGCAAGAGGTTAGAATTAAGCCCCAGAACACAAAACTACTCTTTGTAACCCAAATAAAGTTGATTTTGCAGACTGGAACAGCAGCATGCCAGGATCTTGGAACCAAAAACTGTTTAAAATAGGTTAAGGGATTAAAAAAGAAAAGAAAAAGGAACCGCAAGCCTGGTGGGCACCATGAAGTGCCCATGGAGAGACGGCCGTCCTGCACAGGGGCCAGTGTTGGAGATCCGATCGCTTGTTAATGCAGGCCAAGAAGTTGCTAACATCCTGCTAGGCAATTACACTTACCCAATATCCAGAAGTGTCATGTAAATAGAAGACTGAACAAGCCCGACTGGGAGCTCCGTAGAGACCACACACCTGGAAATTTAGACATTGCAGCCCAAACCAGCATTTCTCTGTCCGACTCCTCTACATGCACTCCTCGGCATCCCACACCTCTGACCAAAGCAGTGAAACCCTTGTGCCTGCCGCCATCCCCCATTTCACTGTGGCAGAAATCAGCATCCTGGGAATCGCAGGGCCTTATTTCTTCAAGCCAAGGTTCTAATCCTTAATGCTAGAAGGAAGCACGTTGGCACAGTGAGATCTTGGGAGAGCTGCTGTGAGTCTGATGAAAACCTAATGCCAGTCAATGCAAGCAAGGACCATGTGTTGGCCAAAACACCTGGAGGGCCACACGGACCTGACTGATCAAAGGTCTGACCCAGTACCAAAGGAAGACTATGTCCTCCATGTGATTCTTCATGCAAAGACTTGTCCACACCTTGAGTAGCTGGCTATACTTAGCTGGCTTGTGCTTGTGGTGCAACTGGTTGCCTGAGGGTGAGGAAGAACCATTCCTGTCTCAGTGGCACGTTTGCGTATGTCTGATTTCTTTCCATGGTACTGTGTGGCTTGGAGCCCAGCCTGACTGCATCATCTGGTACTCCACCACCTTTCCTGCAGCACATTTGCTTCCTCCTCATGTCCCATGTTTTCAAATTGAGTAGATTTATCTCTGGTTCTTATCTTCAAGAAGCAGGTGAGACGCAGAAGGTTACAATGGTGACTTCTGCTGATCCTTAAGGACTTCAAAAATAAAGTGCTCAGAATCAGCCCAAGCAGGTTGAGTATCAAGCAGGTTAGGCCCCTGAAGGAAAAATGGCAAGTTCATCACCATCCCCTGCAGCAGCTTAGCCTCTTCTCTGCCTTCTTTTGCTCGGCTTTCTTCCCCAGTGACAAGGCTTAAGTAACACCCGAACTCTACCAGGTATGAAGAATATACGGAGATTTCCCAGGCCTCTTTAGCTAAATCCAGGGGCACTGCTGATCCCACCACAGAAACATTTCTTTTCCCCATAGAACGCTAGAGACACTCCTAGTCACGGACGATACTATGATGGTATCCATTCCACTAATGGTGTTTGCAAGATACACCTTGAAATGCTCTATAAACGTACAAATCTTGCTTAGCTGGAAATGACAGGGAGGTGATCACACCAACCCCTACTCCACCCAGAGAGCAGCAAAGATTTCTTGGTAGGGAGTGGGGAGATACACCATTTGTACACAAGCATCAGATGCTAGTGACAAAACGAGAAACAAGCACACTCTCTGCAGCATCTTTTCTCTTCAACCATGAGAAAGTTCTTTAAAGAAAAATCTAAATTAGCTCAGCAGCATCCCACAGGACAATTACAGAATACTTTAGAAGGAAAAGCTTTCTATGATGATCTCATCTAATGACATTTATCAAAGGGTCATGAACCAAAAAGTTGCTATGAAGAACTAACTGGCCAGCAATAAAACTTGCTATTGTTTGGATCCTTCTCTATCCCACCACGAGATTCCAAATAAGGGACTCTGTCAAGAGAGCAGAATGGGTGCAAGGAAAGGAGAAGAAAACACCAGGAGAAAAGGGCATTCAAAAGGTGCTGCAGTCAAGTACAGTTCTGTCATCTTCTCTTCCCTCTGACTTTTATTCAGTTTGAAAGATAGACAAGACAGAAAACATACACAATTCTTGCCCTGCTAGTATCACCAACTGGATCCAGCTGTTTCTTGGAAGCATAATAGGAACAAAGATAATATCCTTCAGTCAACACATGAGAGAAAATGTGCGTATCTGCAGCCCATCAATGGGGCAATTCAGAGAGAAACACTGGCAGTTAGTTGTTACCGAGTGCATGTAAAAGACCAGGACTGCTGTACCTACACAACACCCCCACAGCACACGTGCAATTAGCTCTGAGGCTTGTGGTGTGAAAAATGAGGTGCATCGTCTGCCCAATTGACATGCATCCTCCAGTGTCCGTCCTCTCAAGGCGCCGCTTTGTCTGAGTGCAGATCCCTTCCCACTTGGGGCAGCCTTCACTGCACAATGAGAAGGGAGGCGAGAGAAGCAGCAAGGAGGACGGCTGCTTCGTCTTCAAGGCTACGTGGCCTTCGTTCTCGTCACTCCAAGGCAGCCAGTTCCTCCAGGAGCTCCTCTTTCTCGCGCTGCAGTTCCTGCATCCGCTGCTTGTTCTGCTCCAGGCGGTCTTCCAGCCACTGCAGCAGAGGGCCACTGATGGCAGACATCTGACTGCAGAGGTTCTTTGTGAACACTGGCAAGGAAAGCAGGATGCAGGAATTAGCCTTGGCACTCCAAGCGTGACTTAGCCTGATCCTGGTAGAAACACACAAGACCTTGGAGGGTAATGGGTTTAGGAGGACTTGACTCTGCAGAGCAGCCTGCATGCAGGATAGGCATCTTCAATGCACGGTGCAATGAGAGGCATGTTGGAAAAGCCAGGCCTCTGCAGCCTACTTGAAGGGGCTTGGGTGCAAATACTGTATTAGCAAAGAGCTCATCTCACTGGCCACCGCAGCAAATGAGCACAGTTGCCCTGCAGACTGACTCCAAACCCTGATCTCTCACAGTGTGAAGACCAGATCTTGGCTAAACAGCACAGGGAGAGCTGGTGAATATAAGACCCATATAATGAAGATTATGCTTTTCTTACTTGAGCTTGTCCACCTCTAAATAAAGAAGAAATCACTGGCACTCTGCAAACTGCTGGCACAGAACAATTCCATTTATCACCAGGCCTACCTGTATAAGTAAGACCAACTATTCTGCACATGTCTCCAGGATCAGAAGATGTGGCATCAGTTCACTTGACCTGGAAGTGCTTACCTGAGCCATTGTGAATCTTCGTTATAGAGTCCAGATGAGTAAGGCTAAAACATAGGAAGAGGGAACAAACCAATGTCACGGCAGCACATGCACAAAAATCACACACAGATTTTCTGTCAGGTTGGAGGAATGTGCACAAGGACTTCCATCCAAGTGTTACAAGAAAACAGCCTGTCTGCAATTTTACTCATGGACTTATCGTACGATCAGGTTGCACTTGACCCAAAAGAGGGAAAGCTAAGGCTATCGCTGAAAGGCTACCAACAGCCAAGTGACTGCTCTCTTTTTGCCGCCCAGCCTTTCTTTTACTGATGGCCAGGTCTTTTTAATTTTATTTACTTATTTCCTTTTTATACCACCCAATAGCCAAAGTTTTTAAAATTGTCCTATATTGTCTTTTAATGCTCTTTTATGTTCTTTTAAATCAATTTTCAATTCTTAATCTTTTTAACCTTTTGTATTTTGTAAACCAGCCATAGTGCTTCAGCTATGGGTGGTATAGAAATGACGACGACGGTGACAGGGAAAGGAAGATAACAAGGGAGCACAGCCCTCATTTTACCTGTGGATTTTCCTGTAAGCATCTTGCTCCTCTTGGCACAAGATCTTGGGCAACTCCACAGCTGATTCAAGACATACTTTTCCAATGGTGTTGTGAGGAACAACATGAATAGGAATCTCAATTCTTTCATACCTGCAGAAGGAAGCATGTGCATGTTATTATTCCCTTTTCATACACTGGAGTATTATTAGGGTACGTGCTTGCTTGGAAGTACATTGCACAGGTTTCAGTGTGGCTTACTCTAAGTAAATATCACAGATGGAAGCATTAAGTCCCTTGACAGTTACGATACTGAGGCTAAGGCTTTAAGAATTCAATATTTACATAGTTTTTTAAAAACAGAACACTTAAGACTTATATTGTGGCTGAGCATTGTAGAATTTTCTAGATATAGTTTATTTGTTTAGCTGTTACCTTTAGCATGTAATTTTGTGATTGAGCATTTTTAAATGTGGATTTTTGTAAGTTCTAAGTGTAAAGAATCCTTAAAGCATGCAAAATTAAGTATTTTCAAAATGCTCAAGCCTGCCAGTGGTCTAACCAGTATGTCTACTGAGAGTCCACTGACCGATAGAGCTACCTCCCCATTAACCTTCTGTATCCCAGTTGGTACTTATAAGAACTTTCTACCTAAGGACTAATGCCAAAATCTGCTTTTCCCCACTCTTACCTTCCAGTCCCTGTTCCTATTATGTAGAATCTTTTAGACTACAAGTCAGACAGCAAGGACTATCTTATTATTATAAATTGTTCCAGAGGTGGTGGTGGTGTTGTTATTTTCATTTCTATACTACCTCACAGCCAAAGCTTACACGACAGTTTACACAATCCATAAAAACAAATGATAAAAATGCAATAAGTATGACAAAAAGTAGGGAAAAAATGAACAAGTTTGTAACAGTGAAAACGAGATAATAAAAACCAACAACACAAAGAAAAAAACTGATTCTGAACTACGTAATGATTCCCCGCAAGCCCCTTGGTGGCCAAGTAAGTTCTTAAAAGCCTCAGAAAAGAAAACTGTCTTAACCCAGCACTGAAAAGATGGCAGATTCAGTGCCAACCTGAGCACAGTGGGGAGGTTCCATAGATGGGAGTCCAGCACCAAAACCCCTCCCTGCAGTTGCCACCCTACGCACTTCTCTTGGGGCTGCCACTTGCGGGAAGGTCCCAGAGGCAGAGCACAGGCTAAAAATATTTATCCTAAGCCTAAAAAGTAGGATAATATGCTTTTAAAAATAAATATACATTTCCTGCTCTCTGTGAATGATTTAATATGCTCCCTGCTATACAAAAAAGAAGGTAGACTGGCTTAACTAAAGGGGGACAATATAAAGGGAAAGACACATCACAATCAGAGGATACTGGCAGGAAGTAAATTGGGATTAGACATTCTGGTCTTGGTAGGAACCAATGCACACCTGGGTACCTTTCCTGGCACTGCATGCTATTCAATTATATAATGGATACATTGGGGTGCGAGTAGAGAGAATAAAAAGGAGGAAAAGGTAAGGAGGGAATTGGTTAGCTGACAGAGCAGAGGGTGAAGGCAAAGAATCTGCCTCCTGTGAAATAGGTTTCAGCTGATCTCAAATTATGGGTTCAAAGCAGATGTTTAGCAGATGTTTGCGGCTCAAGCACACCTCTCCCTTATGCTCAGTCTTGGGGCAGGTTAGTCATCCTTTGCAACAAGCTATGCCTCCCCATGACAGATTTTTTGTGGAGGTGCCCAAAAGTTTGTGAAATTGCCAGATGTGCCAATGGGTCCAAGAAGGTTGCCTATCCCTGAGGTGGATAAAAGCTTTCGCAATAGTTGTCAAGCAGTGAAGACTCAAATAACACATTAGCGCTACTGCATGTAGGAAAGGAAAGGAAAGGAATTTAAAGAAAAATAAGGTGGAGACGAGTTCACTGAAGTCTTCTGTTCAACAGAGCACTTACTCTGAGCTCTTTTGAGCTTGAATGGACTGGAAACAGGTATAAAGAATCCGGCCTGTCTGAACCAATGAACAGATATAAACAAGTTAAAAAGTGAAAGGAGGTCATGCAAAACATCTTCCCCAAGCTCCCATCCCAAATGCCCATATATCTTGCAATTATACCTCCCAGCTTCAGGTCTGAGTTTAATTTTATAGTTCATGTCTCACTAAGTGACAATGAATCCTATGGCACCTTAAAGATTAGAATGTCTTATTGCCTTCATTTCAGGTTCCTTCCACTTGATAACACCTCTGGCCAAACTCCTTCGGCAACTCTTGAGCTCACTAAACCCACAGAAATCAGGAGGGCTGTTAACCTAGAGGTTTCTGCAGCTCAGAAACTTACCTCCGGTCTGTGTTAACTTACTCAAGAGAACAGTTTGTGAAGCAGGTTCTGCCCCAATTGCAGACACTTCCAATTACCCAGTTCTATGTTTTCCCCTCCTGAATCCCTGCCGAGCTCCACAAGGGGTCTGTGTGTTTCATTTGGGTTCTCCTGAAGGATTTATCAGGAAGCATCCACAGAGGTAAAAAAGGCCAAAGCAGCTGAGAATAGTCCTTTGCCACTAAGTTCATGTACTTGCTTCACTTCACTGTCAAATGTTGAAATATTAATATCTAGGTCGCAAATGGAAAGTGTATCACCAAGTGAGGATGGGACCATTGTGCAGGGAAACCTCATCTTCACCTCCAGTTTAGCTTTCTGTGCTTCAACACTAAAACCACTGAGCTCAGAGGTAAAGGGGAAATCATGACTGCAGCACTAAAAAGCACCATGTTGACCGTTTCTAGTCTCTTTAACCTGCTTCAAGCAGAATTAAGGCATGGCTTTCAGGCAGAGAGAGCATGGAACACCTGGGCTGTAACAGCAGCAGGGGGCATTTATCTGTGCATGGTTTACCTTCGTGTTTTTATCTTCAATGAAACAGGAGAAGATAAGTCCCACAAACCCTTGGTCCATCATCTGATAAATTGCTTGCGTGCGGACATCTGCAGACGTAAGAAATGGTGAAATAAATGACAAAGTCAACATTTGAGTGATCCCTGCCCAAAGAGCTGCTGCAGTACGGAATGCTGAACCCAGAGAGATGTTTCTTTTCTCCAAAAACAGCAGAAAGCCTCAGCAACAAGCCCACCTAATGGATATCATTTGCAGACTAAAGCCAGGATTAGCACATAAACCAATAAAAGAAAGATTACAGTCGAGCTCAAGAGACACACAGGACTCATGTGCTTATTCAGCTGCAGCTCCATATATGGGATTTCATTTCATTCATTACTATCACAGACCAGGGAAATTAATAAACAGCTGAAACAGCAGCAGTAAAAACAAAATACAGTTAAAACAAGTACAATTTAGACAGTAATTTCACTCAAGCAGATGACCACATTTTTCCTAATTTGCATTGCAGTCATAAAAAATTTGGCAGCATTTCCAGTGATATAAGAGGATACATCCCTTAAACAAGTAGATGCCACAGTGGGAGAATTATTCCTATAAAGATCTGTTATTAATCACCTAATCAATTTCTCTCTGCATGCTCTATCAAAACTGCAATATAAGAGGACTTGTTCCACTGTTTCTAGCACCACAAGAACATATCTGGTCATTGACCAAGGTCTTGCTAAATTGTCCTTTTAATAGTGCCAATGGCAGCACACTGAAATGGGCAGGAGGAAAAGCTCTTCTGTATTTGGAATAGTTAGTGTGTACAGATATGGGGTTGCAGTAATTCCAACATTATAGCAGTCATTGCAGTCAAGATGAAACAATAAGGAACAAGTTTTATTAGCAGTAGTTCTCAAGTACTGAAGATCCAGGTCTATTAATCTTTGTCCAACAGAAACTGGGGCTTCCCCAGCCCATAAGTGCCCAACATTTCTGCAGAGAAACCTATCCTATGGAGCTTCTGTCACGTCTCCAAAAACAACAGAGAAAGGTAGCTACTGGTAGAGCTGCTCGAAAATGTAAACTTAGCCACCAATCCATGCCTTGCACTGAACAGATCAAATCCCTACTTCCAGATGGATGGCTGCATTCTGCACACAGGGAAGAAGGCCAAAGAACTTCCTTAGAAACATGGACTGAACTTTTTCCATGTGAGAATGAAATATACTTGGGATTTCAAGAAGCACAATTCCATTTCAATGCAATTCTTTCAAAACAGTGTTTCTCAAAGTGTTGGGACTCCATTATAAAATTCCTCAACCTTGGAGAATCTCCAACTTCTACGGATCAATAATTTGCTATATAGGTGAGTGTTAAGAGTGGCACACACCATGGCATCCGGCCATCTCTAGCTGCATACAAGGATCAGTGCTGAATTAATATTCCTCAGGTATTAAAAGAAAAACAGAACATCTCCCCCAGCCTTCAACCAACCCAAGTCTTAGTCAGTGGGGGCCAAGGAAAGAAGGCAGCTCCAATTGTCTTAGGATGTTACTCTGCATGGAAGTTCGCATTCCTTGCCCCTACAAAGTGCCCCACACCACAATTTGACCACCATTAAGCCCTCTGGACATTCCAAGTCAGCCTACATAGGCTCATGGATACACTTTTCACGCAGGAAAAATAGCTTACCTACATGAGATGGCCAAACTGTTATGTGAGGATGGGAATGATACCAGCCCACCACTCTCATGGGCCGCCCTGTTAACTCAGCCAATCTGTGTGTTAGTTAAGGTTTCTCCAAAAACCCAAAAGAATCCCACTTGCAGGTAAATGAAACGGCCCTCTGAGGCTGCTGGAACATTTTAAAGGTGAAGGAACTGCAGCAATTTGCTAAGGTCAGGATTTTGTTTAGTGACTTACGCAGTAGGTCACATGCACAGGATATTTGTACAAAATTATCTTCCAGGATAACAAATCATATTAGGAAAGAGCTATTGTCTGGAAGCTTTTTCTTCTAGGGCAATTTTTACAAAGCATTTGAAATGTCTTCCACAGAAACACAGAATTGTTGGACTGCCTGCCTTAAAATCATCTGAAAGGCTTCACCCCATACCCTCTTTGACAAAGGATATTTCTGCTTCTGTTGAAGCAGCTGAGAGCTGCTCAGGAGAAATCTCCACACGATCCTTTCTTTTATCTGACCGGCGTAGGATGATTACAGAGTGAATGTGAACAATTCGGCTAGTGTCAACCTGAAAGAAAGCAAGAAGTTATTTAGTTTTCTTTCTATAAAATTTAAATTATAGTAATCATTTCTAATCAGACACATACATTTACACATGTAAAGCAAGACAGGCAACATTGTACATTTCTTTCTTTTTGCCCTATTGGCCTGAGCCCTAGATCTTTTAGGTACCTTGCACTGCACCTATGCTTATAAAAATGTAGATGGCAAGTTACATCTTACAAGGCATTTTCCTCATACAGTTTTTCCCAGGTACAAATTTACAGGGGTTTAATTAACTGTCTTACAATGCAAGCCAGTGTGGAGTTAAAGTGTAAGCCTGAAAGCTGGAAGTTCTGGGTTCCAGTACCCACGTGACCATGAAATTTACTGGGTGACTTATGGCCAGTCACTGATTCTCAACTTAGCCTAGCTCAGACAGTTGTTGTGAAGAGATAATGGAGCCAAGAAGGATTCTGTCAGTTGCCTTGGGTTCCTTGCATGGAAAAAAGTAGGATATAAATATAAGAAATAAAACCTATACCTACGCACTTAGAAGCAAGCTCTACCGAGTTCAATGGGGCATACTCCCCAAGGAAACAGGTACATGAGTGTATCCTAACAACAAACAGCTGCTAAAGGTGTAATCCTGTGCATGCTAAAACAGAAAAATGTCTACAGCTCTCAGCACTTCTTAGCTGGGCTGAGCTATACTAGGAGCTGCAGGGCTTTTCCTGCCTAAACATGCATAAAGCTGCATATGGGAAACAGCTCCAGGTTTTCTTGCCCTCTTTCTCGCTCTTAATTTCTACAGTGGCATTCCCTGGTCAGCTTCCAATCTCAAAAGCAGAAATCAGAAACACAAAAAGGTGTTTCTCCTTTCCTCTAAAGTATCAATGCATTCTACTTTACAGAGAACAATTCTCTACTTGAAGGACTACCCGATTCAAGCCATAAGTAAAAATTAAGAATCATAAGCCGTAAGAGAAAAGGACTTGAAGTTACTCATCAACACTAACGACATGAAAAGCAGAATGAAAGTGCATGACACTTCACTTTGGTCTACCACACTATCAGATCTAATGTATGTTTACTTCAACTGCAGTAATTGCTTTTACAATCACACCTACGCGTATAAATCAGCATATGCAAATATGCAAATCAACGTCCTTTGGAGAGAGCGCAAGTAGCCGCCCTCCTCTCCTACCTCCCCAATGCAAAGGCCCATGACTTCCTCCTTCTCGGTACTCAACGCATGGTTCAGGCAGACCAAGAAGGCGTCCGCTTCCAGGTGCGCCGCCTGTACCGCCATCACGACCTGCGTCGTTCCTCCGGAGCTGTCGCCGCCCCTGCAGCTACTGCAGCTCTCGATAAGGAGAACAAGGAAACTGCAAAGCAAACGGACTAATAATCAACCTAATACGCGAACTCTTCCGCCTAGGCCCTGCGTCTCCCGGACAACGCCAGCTTCCGGTCCGAGGCCGGAAGTGCCCGGCCTGGCCCCGACTGGAGCGTTCCTAAGTTCCGCTGGTGACGCTGGGCCAGGTCGGTTCCGCCCGGGGGAGGGGCGGGGGGACTTGGGCAGCGCAGCCTGCGTGCGCCCAGCAAGCGGGGTGAGGGGGAAGCCCCTGGAGGAGGGGTGTGTGTCCTGAGAGGCCCATCCTTGGCCCCCCAACGTGGCTTGGTTCTTCCCCAGGCAAGGGGGGAGTGGCTGGGAAGGAGAGAAGAGCTGTGGGTTTTTTTTCCCTGCGTGGAGACCTGGGCTGTTTGCTCATCCGCTGTAGTGGGAATAGGGTTAATCTCTTGTCCCCGAGACTCCCCGGAATATGGGGAGTGGGGGGTCGAGGAGGATTTATGGGGAGGCCAGTCTCACTCCTTTGCAGTTGTCCAGCAGGCAGAAGATTCAACAGGCATAGCCTCCCCCTTTCTGTGCGAAGAAAGGTTGGACCTGTTGAGTTTCTAGCTGCCATAGGCTGATATGGCTCAGAGTTGCTTTCTGAGGTTGGGAAAGAAGTGGTGAACCTAGGAAGGGACTGGCAACGCGAAGACTAGCAGAGAACTGGAGAGGTGGGCACACAATAGAAGACACTGTCTCTGTGCTGCTGCTGGATGAGGCAGGCAGTCAGCCCCCCAGTTGCAACAGTAGTTCGACAAGCAGAAGTTCAACAAATATCACTTCTGGGAGGCAGTGATGGGAAAGGGTTTGTCTGCCGGATTCCTGTTTGAAATGAATTTGCTAAGATCTAGGAGCCCTCCCAATGGAAACCCAACCAGGATGACACTGTTTTCCTCTGTTGTTATTGTCACAAGTTGTCTTGAAGTCACTGAACTTAACTTCACCAACCCTTCCTTCTGATACCAGACTGCTTGGCTTCTCCCAACCTGGTGACCTCTGGATGTGTTGGACCAGTCAGCACGATCATTAGCCCTGATGGGTTTTGTGGTCCCGTACATTTTGAGGGCACCCAGCTGGAGAAGAATGGCTCAGAAAGAGGCATTTTCCATACAGCTCCAAAATCTTGCGAGTCTCAGGAGCTGGATGAATGTACATTCCCATGAGCCAGAAACTGCTTCTTTTGTCAGGATTAATAACAAGAGAAAAAAAATCAGTCTGTCATTTTGTACTTGTCAGGCTGGATGTTGAAGATGTGCTGTAGCAGAGCCTTGTAGGAAGGGCTAGCCAAAGAGTAAGCATTTCTCCGCTTTTGTGTTGCACCTTTCAGTACACAATTCTTTTGATCCAAGTTCTGCTAATCAATTGCTATTTAGGTGCTACAGAGTTCTTTTGTAAGAGCTGAGTTCCAGCACAATTCTTACCTGGCCTACCCCATTACCCCAATCTCATTCCTACTTCATCTTCTTGTAAAATATATCTTCCACGGCTTCTATTTTGTTTTAATAATTGTCTGTATTCTCAAGAACACCCCAAGGCATGCTGATACATACCCTTAGGCTCTGTTCAAAAGGTGTAGGGTGGAGAAACATCAGTGATCAAAACCTAAGATAGAAACTCAAAAGCTCATCATGGTCATAATAGGTGTGGTAGTAATGTCTTGGTTATTTAATCAGTTTCTGGGCAGTGATGCTATAGTAACAGTGGCTTATACGACCTTTCTGCTGCTCTCTATTTCTGACCTCCGTTTCCTGCCTCCAAAGAAAAGTAACAGCTGAGGAAATGAGCCACTGTTTCCAGTTCTAGAGGTGGCAGCTTATGTTACAGACACATCGCACACTTGTGGGAGGGAGATAGAGCGGGATCACCCTAACTTTAACCACACTGGCCACCTGCTCTGCACAACTTCTTTGCTGTGTACAAACAGGAAGTTTGTCAGACTTCTGGGCTGCTGTCTCTTTTCGTAAGGAAATTGCTCATGTTGGAACCACCAATGTTAATTGAATTTGTCACAGACGATGTTGCCGCAATGTAAATTTGATGTTCTGACTGCGTAGATAGAAAACTCTTGGGAAGGCCAAGGTGCAGTGTGGAGGAGAGGGAAGCGACAGCCCTGAATCAAGCTCAAATGTAGTCCCAAGGTGGAATAAAGGGGTTCTGTGCTGTGTGAAGTTTGCTGCTGAATGAAAGGAGGCGTTTGAATGCCCTGGATCGTGTTTCAACTTACAGGGAGAGAGGGGCCAGTGTATGCGGCATCCGGCATCCGTTTGATTTGAATGCTCCTCCTTGTTTGAAAACTGGTTGTGTAGCATTGCTAGCACACTGACTTTTGGTTCCTGTGCGTTGTTTCCCCTTCAGAACATGGTACGTTTATCAAGTTGATCCCAAAGAGGCTCAAAGTTGCTGAAGAAATTGTCCTGGCCAGTCGATTTCAGAGGAATACTTCCTATCTTTATCCTGCTCACCACTGGCTTCTCTTGCAGTGATCTGACTGCAGATGCCAGCACATCCTTTTTCTGTCAGGAGTGCCATCAAAGTGGTCTTCCTTTCCCTTATCATTAAACTTAAAATGGGATTTGAACCTAGCATTGTAGCCGTTTAGAACATCACTGCTTCACTGCACTTCAGAAAGACTTGTACATTTTGTTCGATAAAACTTACCTTCTTTCCACAACTGCTCTTGCCCATCCAGGAACATTGCTAAGCATTTAAAAAAAATCAGGGCCTAGGTCCATAGAACCCAAATCTGCATATGTTAATTGTGTCTATATAAGCACATTTAGAAATAAATAGAATTTTTTATTTAAATTTCACAAGGGGGGAAAACAAATGAATCACTCATCCAAATTATGTCAAAATAAATACAATTAATTGCACTCTGATCCAGATCGTCCCAAAGCAATGGAAAAAACATTGTTGTTCCCCACTCCCATCGAATTGCTGTGCAGCAAAAGATTTGGCAGAGGGGTTGCAGCATGTGAGAAGGAGAGTGTCAACGCTTCCCTTCCCGGCTGCAAATCCCTCATGAAAATTGACTCCTGCAGAGCAATTAGGAGAAGGAAAAAGTACCTTCCATTGGCACCAAAACACACTCAGGTCTGTATAAAATGAAGGCAGAACTCTGAGAAACAGATTCTCAGCAATGTCCGTGCCCTCGTCTTAGATTACTGAAGAATAATTTTCCTGTTCAGAGTCATTTGTGCTTTGTCTCTACGGTGGCCTTCATGAAATGAGGATGCCAAAAAGATGGCATTTCATCTGCACAGCCAGGCTTTCCAATGTCTGGCTTTCCTTCACCTCCCTTTCTCCAAGGGACCTCCTGTTTCTGTACTGGAGAAGGATCACCACATTGCCAATTCAGTTCTGAAACACCAAGCAGGGATAATAAGCCTTTCCTGATGAAATAATATTTATTGTGCTTTGCCGCTGTGGACCAATCCACAGTTTGATTGGAGCAGAGAAATGGAGGCGGGCAAAATTAGTGTACATTTTGAGATGAGTGAGCCACTTTCTTTCTCCTGCTTCTTCGACTTTTTGTGCCCAGTCCACATCTTCCCCAGTACTTAGCTGTATTTTGAGCAACGCCAGAGGAGATAGCTGGCAAAAGGATGTGGACTGTTTCCAGACTTTGTAGAAGAAACAGACCACTCCTGCTTGTTTATTGTCTGTTTCTGTCTTTCTGGGAGGATGGGGTCGGCCAGTTAGCGGCCTCGGCGCAAGTAATCCACTGGCAAGAATCAGTTCACAGGCAGCGAGTCACCGACTGCTGTGCGAGGCAAACCCGCATGCGTTTGCTGCCCACTTGAATGGTGGTAGGGTCTCACCAACGGATGATAGACCACCAGTGCGCCAAGCCAAAGCTCATGATTCAGTAGCATCTTTCACCCCCAGAGACTATTAGGTGCCTTTCAGGCGGGATCTACTTCACACCTCGCAAACATCTTGACTCTACTGTGGCAGTCATACTTTCCTAAATTCTCTTCCCCTGCCAAGTAAAAGACATAACAAAACCAAACCAAAAACCTTCGTTCAGTGCAAGGCACCTGCACACCACCCAGCTCTTGTGTCAGGTGTTGGCCCGTTGCGGACTAACAGTTCATTCCATGTCTTTGTTCAGAGACAAAGTGGGCTATATTTAGGATGGGACCCAAGGGAGGGCCTTCCTAGCAAGATAAGAGGGCATGGCAGAAGGAGAGGAAGGAGGCGATGCCCGAGCTCCACCTGTCCGGCTCTGGGTGCGACGGACAGGTGTCTATTGTGATGAGAACCAGAAAACATGGCTGGTGGCATCCGAAGAGGCAAGTAAGATTCTCAGCACTCTTTAATTTGGATTACTTTAGTGTTTTGGCATTAGCCTTTTAGCAACTCTTAATGTTCCCCTCCCTTTTCCTCGTTTTGCTACCTTGTCCTTCTCCCCAGGAGACAGGTACCCTGAAAGCCCGGATCAGAAGAGTTCGGGTCCCCCTGGGTGAGGCGGTACGCCCAAGCCGCCTCCCTGCATCCCAGTTGCCGCACATGTGGCAGCTTTCAGAGGGGCAGCAGTACCGAGACAGTAACTCCCGCATCTGGGGCATCGAACACCACTTGATGGTAGGTGGATTGCTTCCTGTGCAGGGCTGCGAATCATCCGAAGGCTGCTGCAGGTGACCGAGCCTTTCCTTGGTGGCGCTGAATGCTTCGTTTGTCTTTCACAGATCACGGGAGTGGAGGAGCTGCTCTTAAAACTCCTGCCAAGTGATTAAATCAGGTGAGGGGCGCCACTTCCTCCTCCACCCCCGTTTCTTCTTTGCTTTTGGTGCTCATCCATGCTCACTCGCAGTGATTCTTTAATGTGCTGGGTTTTTTTGTCTTTCAGGAGCTGTGACTAGGATGGTGTCCGTGTCTGAGTTTTTTTTAATGTGATAACTCCCAGCACTAAAATGCAGCTGCCTCCTTTGCAGAGTGTGGCAGGCAGCTCCCTTAACGGCCCCCAGCAGCAGCACCCAAGAGCTTAGGACAGGCAGTCAAGAAGAGTGCCATGGCCACCCGCTGAAATTACAGGGGGACTTTTAGGTAGGCAGACTGGAACCGCCTCTCTCCTACTGGCAAGTCAGGATGCAGCAGGAGTTGGCAGGCTTCCCTGTGCCCTCTTCCCGGAAACGTGTGGGGAGCCAGTGATGGAATGCTGGATGAGATGCCCTCCAAGGCAGCTCGTGCGTCCTCACCGAGTTGAATGCCTTGACCAGGCTGAGCTGTCTGACAAGCAAGGATGCGGTAGAGTTGGTTTCACCTGCCAATCAGTCGCAGCACTGCCAGGAATGACTTCAGCCATTCGTGTTGTACGAGGCGCTGGCCTGGGGGAGAACCCGGCTCCCTACTGGCATCATCAGTGCTTACCTTGGTGTCCTCCTTTTTCAGTGTTTTCAGGGCAGCCTGACCAATTGATTTTCAAGGTTTTACAGTTCAGACAGCTGCCTCCTCACAAAGGAACCTTTCTTCTCAATGAAGCTCGCTGCCAGCTGCTGTTCTTCGACAGATGCAACCCCCTTAAATATGTTTGTTTTCTTGTGATCTGGAAGCACGGAGAGACATTTGAAATCAGAAAAGCCTTTGTGTTATTCTAAAACCATCATTCCAAAACTGGCATGTTTTGGAAGGTGGGGGGAGCACCAAATCCATACAAGAAGGGATTTCTTTCTGTGCCTGCCCTTTCATTTGTTTCTCAGACCAATGTTAATGTCTCCGTGGCAAATTTGGTGAGAGGTGAGGAAGGGGACATCTGTGCTGTACCAAGCCACTTGGGTAAACAGCTCTTTCAGGTGATTCTGAGATCGTGGCAATGGAGGGATCTGAGAGAGGCCTTCACTTGACTAAGAAAAGTAGTTTGTGGCAAGGGACAGGGGAGATCCTTGGCTAGACCAAAATCTGGGGAATTAACCTTCTTTTGATTGTAGGCAGGGCTGAGACTGCCTTGTTAGTTTGCTCCCACAATTCTTACCAGGGTTGTCTCTTTTTCCCCCACCCCATCCTTTTAGTTCCCTGACCATGGCTCAGAAAGACCCCTGCAAGAAATATGCTTGTCAAATCCAGAAATGCTTGCAAGGTATGTATTGTCATTTGGCAGCGCTTGGTTTTGTTTCATTTTTATTTACTGTGGAAACAGATTTCTACCTCGGCCCATCCCAGCTCTGTCAGGCAATATATATATAGAAAAGATACCATTTAAAGCCACCACTCAAGATAAAATGGAAGTAAAAATATTCCTAAGAACAGACTGGCAATAATACATTAAATCTGGCAGTCAAGCAAAAAGAGCAATGGTTATTGAATAGGATGGGTTTGACCTGGGCCCCAAACGGTATTAGCTGAGTGAAGGAATTCCAAAGCCGAGCACCAGCAGAAATGATCAGCACTCCAGTAGCTACCCATATAGCACCTGAGGTGGCATTAAGGTCTAGATCAGGGATGGGTTGGGCAATGTATGGCCCACCCAGTATCGGACTGCACCTCCCATCATCCCTTACCTTTGATTGTACTGCCTGAAGCTTATGAGAGTTGTAGTCCAGATCCCTGGTAAGCACAGGGCTGCCTGCCCTGCCAGCTGCCTTCTTCCCAGGCCAGATGCTTTGCCAGTAATTGCCTATGTTTCTGACGAGACGGCAGCCGCTCCCCAGAGACTTGAACAGAGTGGGCTTCTGCAGGCAAAACCTGCTTTCCCTTGAAGCTGTGGTCCCGCCCTTCAATTTATTTTCCATCTTAGCTTTAAGAAGGCATTATATTGTTCCGACAACGGCCAAGAGCGAGTCTTTCTCCGGCATGCCGTCTTTGGAATCAGGGCTTCTGGGCACGATGAGCTTGCTTCCAGATTTAAGAGTGCAGGCTAGTCTTTGCTGACAGGCACCAGGAACTGACCCGAATCCTCTCCGAGCCAGTGGACAACATAATGCTTGGCGTTTTTCAGCTGGGGAACTTACTGTGGCAGTTTTGGTGCCCTGTGGATGGATAATTTAGAGGAACCTTCCCAAGTCCTTGCATGGGTCTGCCTGGGACACTGATGTGCATCAGTAGCCAGCAGGGAGTCTCCCACAGAGCCTTGCAGCTGGAGCTCAGGGGCCGAATAGCTGTTTTTTATGCAGATAGTTCCAGGTTGGGTCTCTGGTGTCTGCACGCCAAGCTGGAGAAAACGCCTTCCTGAGGCCCCGGAGAGCTGCTGCCAGTCAGCATCAGCAAGACGAGGCTAGGAGGACAAAGGGGCTAAATCAGTGCGAGGCAATTATTTATGTTCCTTTCGTTAGTATACCAGCACGCGGTCAAGTGCTCTTCTAGTGTCACAGGAGAGAGAGGAAACTGGGTTTCTCCCTAGAGGGCATCCATCATGAGGTCCTCTTTGTACTTGAGCATTCTAGAGGGTGGTTTAGGGTGGGGAGACAGTGGAGACCTCTTATTTGTACAAGCGTGAAATGGAAGGGTTGGCTAAAGACAGGTGGGGTCAGGGGAGCAGTTCCAGACAGGTGTACTTTAAAATGCAGCCCTCAGTGCAGGGACCAGAAATTGCCCACCAACGTTAGAGCTTGCTTATCATTTGCTCACTTGCTGTTTCTTCTTCCTTCCAGCAAACAATTACTTGGAATCGAAATGTGAAGCCATCTTCCAGGAGATGAGAAGATGCTGTGCCCGCTATCCCAAAGGCAGATCCACCTCTTGTTCAGGGTTCCAGTCAGAGAAGAAAGAAAAGGAGATGCTGGCCCCGAATAGATTTTGCACCCCACATCTGTGAGGAAGCTCTGAGCTCTGGAGAGCGCAGCCCTTTCCTGCAAATTGCATCACTGTGCTTTACATCACCTGTACTGCTTGCATTCAAGAGCACTCCAAGATGCAAGCCAGCTCCTCTTCCAGAACCAGAACCACATCTATTAAGGAGTAGTGCTGCCAGCAGTTCTACTATCAAATGCTGTAGCCTTACTGTGATTAGATTGGAGTAGAGTAACTTGGTGTGTTAACGTGCAGCTCAAGGGTAGCAATATTCCAGGGCAAAGTGAAATCTAAGCAGCCTTTTTTTTCCTGGAAGTTTAAGACAATCTTGTTTGATGTGTTATGTAAATTAGATCATTGTTAAGCAGCAGGATCCATACTCCCGTTACTTCAGCACTGCCCACTCTGTTCAGAAGTCATCCACCTTCCTTTTGCTGTGCAGACATACATGTTGGTAACTAACGCCTCGGAGCTCCTCTTTTCAGCTGGGCAATAGTTAGGTTACCTGTGTGCCTCAGTTTCCTTGTCTGCAAAACAGGACAAAACCGCCTGTTGTTTGGACTGTAGATTTAGTAGCACTCAAATTCAATTGCACAACACTGATTTATGTGAATGCTGTTGTGGAAGCAGCTGAATTCAGGGATTGTTAGTAGTGTGTGGTGTGACACCCCACCCCCTTTGTCAAGCAATAGTCACTTTATGGGAAGTCGAGTGGTGAAGGGTTTTTAAGAATTCTACCACTCTGCAATGTATGTGAACAAAGCCCCATTTCAATTATTAGAATTGGAATGTGGCCTCAGCACTCCCCCACCCTGCCGTTTAAAGCCTGCTAAGCACATTGCAAGAGTTTGGGTATCCTTTACAACTGTGGTGTTCAATCTAGTACCTCGTCAGTGTTAAAGTAATCTCCAGACCACTGCGATCTTGTGTGCGCATCATAGGCAGGTGTTACCAAAGTCAGTGGAAGATCTATGTTAAATCTTTTTAAATACCATGCTGGAAAAAAATAAAAGACGTGAATTGAGCTTTGTGTGGTTATTCAGATATTCAGGGCACAAAAGATCGCAACTGCTTTATCTAGGCTTAGGCTGCAAGCCCTATATCCTTCTAAGTAAACAAGTGTAGGATCATGCTGTAAACAACATGGCCACTCGGTTTATAATGAGCGTTAGAAGGTCGAGAGAGAATTGATGCAGCACAGTGGCTAACAAGTTGAATGGGGGAATCTCCTTGTTCACAGGTCAAATTGCTGCACGAATTCAGAAGCAAAGCACTTGCTTTCCCCTCATGTCACGTACCTATTGCTTTTTTTATTCCACCTCCCTCCAAGGATGTGTGCATGGCCAATAAAGAGGAGCTATAGCTCAGCAGAATGTCTGCTTCGTATGTGGAAGGTCCCATGCGCAAACCCTGCCATTGAGGCCTTTTCTTTAGAATAATCAGATAAATGATATGAAAGATCTGGAGCGCCACTGCCTGCCAAAGCGGGAGAACAATCTGACTCAGTGCCTGGGCAGAAATGGGTACCCCATGCTCAAGACATGGGCTGGTTATGTTGTCTGGTCCCAATCACAATCAACCCACTATTCACAACTTGACAACCAAGGATTCTTCTCATGGGTTGTCTGTCATGGGCACATATGTGCTTTTTTCCATATGTGCCCACTAGTAGGGCTCAGACAACTTAACCTACATTTCAAGAACTCACTGTATTCTTCTTGTCTACCACCTCAGAAGGAAGTAGCTTCATGTGTCCTGTTTAGCAATATGTCTTGGATTAAGTGACTGGGTTAACTTTAATTATTATTTATTATTATTTAAAACATTTCTATGCCGCCCCCAACAAAGCCTCGGGGCGGCTCACAAATGATCACATGATACAATAAAATTGGTCTGTAGTTTTGTTACATCCCAAAGATGTCTTGGAGGTTTTTTTTTCTCTACACCAAATGAGACACTACTTGTGATCTAGATTTTTTAACTCATAATGTTTAGATATGCTAACTAATTTGTAAGAACACTCATTTGGAACATTCTATCCATTCTGTTTTGGGCAAAATATTGTATTAATTAATGGGGGAGGAAGTATAAATTTGTTTCCAGACTTAGTCCTGTTGGTTTCAATAGATCTACTCTGACTAAATCTGGAATTAGCTGCAAAAGTATCCAAGCTTACATTCCCAGGTCTTGCTTATGTTACAACTCTTTTCCATGTTTGCTTCAACTCTTCCAGGTTTACCTGCAGATGATGAAAGTAAACAAGCATCACACTGACAAGAACCTCAGCAAAAAAAAAGTTTTATTTCAATCTCAGTTCACACAACTATTTAAATATAAAAACATTGTAAAACTCTAATTTTTCTCCGAGCTGAGGTATGGGTGGCTGCTGGGGTTTGAATTCATCTTAACAATTCTCATTCCACCCTTTGCAATCAAAGTTGGCCTTAATTTCTCAGGGACGAACAGTTATCCTTTTAAGGAGTCTCAGACTTAAGCATTCCCTGCTTTTGGCAAAAAGAGTCATACACACCTTCTGCTTTCCAAACCTTTGGCGTTTAGCACCCTCTGGTGGCCATTTCATAGCGGCTGTTTTATGTCTGTCTGTCTGAAAGTGATAAAACTGAGGCTGTCAGTAGCTGGGAAGAATTGTGCAAGCCCCTGACAGTAGCTCACGTAATCCTCAGACCAGCCTCTTGCACCCTGGTACCCTCTAGGTGTGGGCCAAAATGATCACGTCAGCCATTCAGCATGCTGGTGGCAAGCGGGTGGTGGTGGTTGTAATTCACCCATCTGGAGGGCACCGGCAGATTGGGGAAGGTTCCCTTAGTTGAATGTGGCTACTTCAGACACTGAGGGAGAGAAAAGAATGAAAACAAGGTACCCATGCTGCATCTGTGCTCTCACACAGAAGACCATCAGTTCATGTGGTCTTGGGGCAAAGGAATGGGACATTTTCCACGGAGGGGAATTTAGCAGAGGGAAGGTTCTGCAACAAGGCATCTTAGCTTCTGAGACCTATTTCTGGGGTACAGGAATTCCTCCGCAAGAGACACTCGAGTAATTCCAACGCATTCCCCCTCTCATATGATCTGGCAGATACTACAAACACTGCTCATGCCACACCCATGGAAAGGCCTTCCTCACTGCAGACACGTCATGGGGAAATGGGTCAGCAATCCCATTCCCCCAGAGTACGAGAAGCCCGCACTGATGTTGCTGGGGAAAAGCACCACATCTAAGTGACTGAGCACGTGCTACAGAAGACGAACATTCAGGCCGCGGCATGGCCACTTGAAAGGCTCTCGGGCAGAACGGCTGTTCGAGGCCGTGGAAAGCTACTGACAGTTGAGAAATTAAGATGGGCCGGTGGGCGGACGGGCTATGCCAGGTCCACACCTAAACTCTCAGGTCTTGATGGTGGTCAATGATAGAAATGGTCAGCGCTGTTCAAGACCAACAGGGAAGACACAGTTCAGGAATGGCCTGGCATGCCATCTTCAGCAGCGTGCCACGGGCTTGCGTTTTAACTTCTGGTCCTCAAGGAGGCTGGCTATGGCATGATCGAGGGCTAAATACTGTTCAGCGTATTCTTTTGCAACAGGTGCTGAACCCCACAGAGAGTGGGGCCACGGGCAGCCACTCTTCTTTCCTTAAGCTAGGGACATGCACCACAGGAACCAGGCAAGTCCCCTGGCTTCCCTCAGTGGAGGCAGTGAGCAAAGCTGAGCTCCTGGATCCTGTTTGTGTGTGAAAGAGGGGAAAACGATATTCAGTCCATATTGAGTGGGTGGCTGGGCCGGCCGTTTAGTCATCCCACGAATGCAGAAGCCCCCCTCCGCTTTGGGTAAGGGCTACACTGATTGTGTGTGCCATGCTTTTCTTCCAGGACGGGATTCACAGGGTGAAGAACTCGAGGGTGATCTCAGCTCCATGCCGGACCAGATGCAGGCCTGCTAAGCTTTACTGGTGCTGCTGCACCACATGCCCAGGTCAGCATCTCTCAATCTCATGCTATCCGGAGGGGTCTAGTCACGATTCCCATTGTCCCCGCCAGCAAATCCAATGGTCATGGCTGGGGACGCTGGAAGTTGTAGCCAAACACACCTGGAAGGCGGCCGGCTGCTGTGAGTGAACGGATTGATGCTAGCATAAGCCTTCAAGGAGCCCTCTTACCTGTGGGCGCCGGCCCACGAGATCCTGCACCACACTGTGCTACAGCTGTTTATAACGCGTGGCAAGAACTCCCTTACTTGAAAGATGTGTGCTGCGACTAATTAGCACAGTTACACCTCAGAGGAAAAAGCAGGGATTGCAGAAGGAAACGCACATACATACAACATGCTTCCTGCAAGTGCCAGGGCACGGTAAACACTGCAGCCTTCCGCACCATGTGCGACCCTGGCAAACAGAGGTCTGCCCGCTCAGGGTAACCCAGCGATGACTCTCCACCTTCAGTTTGGTGCACCCAGAGCTCATGGCGTGGAGGAGCAGACAACGCTCGGCTCAGAGCTGTAGCCCCACGCGACAGAGAAGAAAGCTCCAGGAACACAGCTCGCAACTTCTGCTCCCGTTATTCAGTAACAGTAGTGACTGGCATTCCTCTCATCAGCACCGACCAGTCATTTACTGGCTCTTTTGCCTCCAAGAGCCAAGTTTTGCTTGAACCCCTTGCTGCTGCATGCTAGTAATTCATATCCTTGAAGAGGAGGGATTGCCAGCCTTTCGGGCCTCCCTCAGCAGAGGGTGACGACAAAGAATCCCATGCAGCAGTCAGAGTTTCCACAGATCATTCCAGCTCTGTGGTTCCAGCAAGAGGTATAAATAACAGCTCAGGCAATGCCAAGAGGCTGTTTTTGCTCTAGCCTTGGCTTTGCTAGGAAGAAATACATGGAACTTGCTCTAGGAAGAGCGAGCCACTTCCAGATCTAGACACCAGTTAATCTGGGACATGCCCTGACACACCTAGGCCCTACCCAGCTGAGCTTCTACGCTCTGCTCACTTGGAAGCAGGATCGATACTCCAGTCACTCAAGGAAAGTTCAAACACAACGAGAAGCTGCATACAAGCAGAGAGAGGAGTGCTACTGTCAAGGCATTCCCCTGGAAAAGAAATGGGGGGAATCCTACAAAAAACCCACATCTCAGGCGGGGCCAAACCAGCGGGACAGCAGCCGGTCTTCACGCTAACCCTACCCTCTACCATCCTATCAATGACGAAGGGAAGAGCAGAATGAACTAGCAGCGGTGTTTCTGGAAGCCATGATGTGGGTACAAAGAGGAAGACAGAATGGGGAGAGAACATTCCAGCATGTCAGCCAATGATAACAGAGGGAAGGGCATTACACCCAGGTCGTGGTGACTCCTAGGAAGCCATGCCGAGCAGAAACCCTCCAACAAAACTCCCAGTCAGGATAACATTCTTCTTCAGAAAGGAGATCACCTGGATAGAGAAAGAAGAGTCTTATCCAGTTGAACCCAGGCGCTCAGGAGATCTGCTCTATCAGATAGATGACACATACATGCACCCCAAAATCTGGAACCAGTTCTCTACAAGGCTTCTACAACGTGTGACCCACTGAGTTGACTTCATCCTGTCAGAACGTATGATGGCTGCTTTGATGCCCACAAAACAAGGCAGGCAGGCAGGCGGCCCAGCTCAATGGAGCACAGGTGGCACAGGTCTGCTCTGCTCCATCAGACCAAACTCTTTAGCAACAGTGCAACTGAGCCCTCTCTAATCTGGCCAGGATCCATCGGCTGCTCATGACATCTGGTGACTCCTTGTATGAAGTAGCTTCCTGTCAGCCCACTGCCCTGACTTTGCTGGGGCTGCACCGGGGGGCTTAGCTCAAGCCAAACACAACCACGCCAACCTCCAAATCAAGTGCTCCCACCCCCACAGTCACTCACACCCTTGCCCAAAACCTACTCATGGTCAGGGCACACTGAGAACTCCCTTGAGCAGTTGCGCATCTTTAACTGTGCCTTCGAATCCAGCCACCCGAGCAAGAGACTCGCCAAACGCCACCGGAGGGCTAGTCCTGCCATTTGGCAAGCCGGCCCAGATTTGCCTTGCTTGCCCTCCCAACTGCCCCTTCATTCAGTGCTTCACACTTCCTCCTCTCTCCTGCATCACATCGCCAAGCCAGTTCTTCCTCAATCCAGGTTTTGCAGCCCATCTCCAGCATGTTTGCCGGATCCTCTCACCTCATCCATTTTGTTCTTCATCTCTGGTGTCAGCTTTTTGGTGGGGCTACTGCGAAACTTCAGCTGCTCCTTGGCTTTGCTCACATCCCGCTCAACCATCTGCCAGTCAATTTTGATGTATCCTGTGTGATTGGCAATCTGAAGGATAGAAAGGTTTTCTGATGCAAAGCCTTGTATGGATCTAGGTAAATTAATTGGGTCTTCTTGGACAGCCCGTTCACTTCTTCCAC